GTGAGAGCCAGTGCTAAGGAAGGGTTTGAGTGCGTGTCTCGTGTGTTCTGGTCAGTTCTTGTAGTCCTAGAGGAGTCCCCTTTTTACTAGCATTTAGGTGCTCTTGTGCTAGAACAGACGGTTAAGAAGTGTGCTTGCGGACTAGCAGGGAACCGCAGCCATGTGGCGGATTACGGCAGCGCTTCTGGTCGGCCTTCTGATATCAAAGGTAAGATTGGTGTCTGTTGCAGTGTTGAAATCCCCGAGATCCGCTGCGGCGGAGCGCACGGACGGGAGGGCTTCGGGTCGCCGGGGGAGGGGGCAACACAAGCGTTTTATCGGCTGTATTAAAGCCTTTTGTTTTCTTTCATCAGCTTTTGTACCTTGGAGTCCCGCTAACATGTCGGGATTCTGACTTTCAACGCAGTCATGGTATAGAGTGAATCTGGAACTGACTGACCGGTTCGCCCCCTGTTGGGCGAGAACACATTCGTCATTATTACTGGCGGTAATTTTCGCGGAACATGACTAAGACGCGCCGTTGCGAACACTGAAGAATCGCCGAGCCTCGAAGGCTCCCTGGCCGAGATGCTGGCGGCGTGCGCGGCGGAGGACGCCACTTTCCTTCTCTAAAACGGGAGAAAGTGCCTCCTTAATGAAGCGGCTCAATATAGAAGGATGAACAATCGTGTGAAACAGCGGGAAATATATATTTCGGTGAAAGTAAAACTGAATGGTGATTTGGGAGATCAAATGTATGCAAGAAAATGAAAAGAGAGAAAACGAAGCAGATCATTGTTTTAAGTAATAATGGTGACCACTGAAATACCAGCAACACTCTTTCGGCCTGAGAGCAGACCGGCCGCCCACATCATGCAGTCGCCCAGAGAGTTGCCTTGCTCAAGTCTCGGGAAATGCCATGACCTCAAGACATTTCCCGTGGACTCCGGGCGAGGGCCCCGCCCCTCCCCATTCCTTCTTCTCCTTCCCGTTTCCCTTTCGCTTCCCCATTCGTCTCATTCCCCTATCACATCTCCTCTCCCCCCTTTCTGCCCTCCTCTGTCTCCCCATACTCCCTCCTCTCCCACTCTTCTCGACGCTATTGCATAGTTAGTGATTCACTCGCGTCGCCGAAGAAGCCGTTCGTCATGCACGGCACGGACGCCGCGGCTGTTCGTCGAGCGTTGCTTCGGCGAAGCTTTTGCGTAAGAACTCCTCATAACAGTTCCAAACACTTCGCCGGACTTTACAACCGCCATAACTCTTTTCCGTTACTCCGCGTCACTCAGCTCTGGCACGCGAGTGTTCGGTATTCGGTAACTGATGTTATTCTGCTTCTGAAGATCATCACCTTCCGCGGAGAGACTGCGGTGCCCGAAGCCTGGGTCTGATGTGGAGCTCGATTAGTTTTGTTCGAGTTATTCTGGTGTTGTTGTTGTTATTGTTATTATTATTATTATTATTATTATTATTATTATTATTAGTAGTAGTAGTAGTAGTAGTAGTAGTCGTAGTAGTAGTAGTAGTATGTTGAGGATGATGATATTTGTCACTGTTATTATTATTATTTTTTATTTTCATTGTTATTATTTTTCTTCTTCCTCTTATTAGTTTGTTGAGGGTGATGTTAATGATGATGACTACCATTATTTTCATTATTATTTAGTTATCATCATCATCATCATCATCATCATGTGTTGAGGATGATGATATTTGTCACTGTTATCATGATTTCTTTTCATTATTAATATTTGTTTTCTTCTTCCTTCCTTCTTTCTTCTTCTACTGCTACTACTACTACTACTATTAGTAGTAGTAAATGCATCAGCCATGGGTTTCTGTCATCTGTAGTTCTTTGAATTTGCGGGAAAATATGTTTTCTCTTGAAGCAATTAATATCGATACTACTATTGTTATTGCTGACATTGTGATCATAGGGATGTTATTGAAATGCCAAAAACAATAAATCTAATGAATAGTACAAAAAATTGAAAATCAAGAAAAATGGCAAAGGTGTGAGGTAAGGTAGCAGGGTGTGAAACCAGATATACCCCCTGCTTTTCCAGTACTCTATGACGTAGCATTGAAGTAGAATGGCGGAGTCGGTTTGGTGTCTGACTGGAAGGGTTTGGCGTCCGAGTCGGTAGATGATTGGATAATTGTTTATATGATATATAAAGATATACACATTTTGATTTTCTTGCCTTGAATACCTCACAATTTATATACTTCAACAAATTTTCTTTGGAACTAGACCCACGCAGTAATGACAACGGAAATCTAAAACAAAAGGCGAAGCTTCCCTTATCTCCTTTAGTGAAGAAGTATTTTCTGAAGGTTGATAATGGCATGGAACGCTCATTGGGGGGAAGTACAGCAAGGTTATAATTGCTGAATGGGATTCCTATATTCTCACAAAAATAAGCTTAAAAACAGTTGTGACATCAGTTTCGGAGCCAGTCACGACTCGACCAATCTCAGTCAATCATGACGCATCGAGCAACCACGACTCGGGTCTCGCGACAGCTCTGCTAAGTAGGACAAATGATTGACTCCTTGGTGAGTCAGCACTTATGGGCATCTGTGTGCAAATGCTATTAATGATCCAAAATGACGGTGGATATGGCATTTTGTTTTTGCCATCCGGACGACTGGGTTGATATCACCTCCATCACCTCACCATCACCCTTATGCTTATTCTTATTATCATAATTATCAGGATAATGATGGAAATGATGTTGCTGAGGATGATAATGATAATAATGACTACTACCACTAATGATAATAACAATAATGATATTAATGATCATACTCGGGTCCCCCGCCGGAAGAGGGCGCCGGCCAGGGCGGAATTCGCCGAAAGATTTCCGCGGCGGAAGCTGAGTAATTCGTCGGTTTGGCTTGATAGGCGTTGCTGTGCTTCGCTTGGTTTGTTCCTTGTTTTCTTGGAACGGTTTAGGTAATTGGATTTTTTTATGTATGTCTATTGATATATCTCTTCAGGCGATTAATTAAAAAAACTATTTCTTCTATTTATTTAGGTTTATTTGGCGATTTTTTTTATTTACCTGTTTTTAAATTTATATCTCCATTATTATTCTAATTTACACGAAACCTTTTTGTGACGCAACTGAAGAAAAAAGGATTGATGGCGTCAGCAGCACATGTGACGTCACGGCCGTTTGCGGAATCACCTTTTAAGGAATAAGCGAGAGTGGAAAGTCATGAAAGGCGACGGACGTTTTCTTTGGGTTCCTTTCGTTTTAGAGCAGACTCTCGCAGGAAAGGAGGGAGAAGGACACGCAGAGGAGAGGGAGAAAATGCGAGACAAGGACTAATGGGTGAAAAGTAAACCTAGCAGCCAGAATGAACCCCTTGAGCCATTCTGAGCCGCGGGAGTTCGACGCTGGCTTCCTCAGTAGCCCCCCCCCCCCGCCCCCGAAAAAAGTCAGATGAACACACGACACGGACCCAGTCCTTAGAAAAAACAGCAGGAAGGTTTCCTCTCGTAAGCAAGGCTTCCTCCGGCCGTTGCTGGGCCGACGTGCATGACGGGGAAAGGGGGGGGGGGGTAGTGGAGGATGTCACGTGATATGGGAAAAAGTCTCGTCGCACCTGTAGGAAGCGATTTGGGAGGCCTATGCGACTTCCGGATCCTGAGAAGCACCTGCAGCAGGGAGTCCGCCCCCCCCACCCCCCGCTCGCACTTGATTCTCAGCCGCTGACTTCTGTTTCTTGTTATATATCCTCTCTCTCTATGTGTGTGTAATTATATATGTATATTTATGTATACATATATGCATATACAAGTGTATATATATGTGTATGTTTATATAAATATTTGCGTATAATCACATATATCCTTACATACGCCCTCCCTCTCTCCCTCTCCCTCCGCCCACCCTTCCCTCCGTAACCCCCAACACATTCCGGCCCCACATAGCTCCCTCTCCCCCTCCCCCGTCCCGTTGCCACAGGCACGGTGCCAGCTCGCCACCGTGGCACCCGGGGCGCCCCCGCCCGTCTGACGCCTGTGGGCGCCCGAACGAGGCAAGTGGGGCGCACTACCTCGTTCTCTCTCTCTCTCTCTCTCTCTCTCTCTCTCTCTCTCTCTCTCTCTCTCTCTCTCTCTCTCTCTCTCTCTCTCTCTCTCTCTCTCTCTCTTTCTTTTACTTCAGGGGTTTATTTTGTTGCTTCGAGGGAGGGGCTTGATTTCGTTGCAGAGTTCTCTTTGTTGTAGGTGTTGTATGTCAATGAACATTCTTCTTGCAAGTGGGCCAGCTGCAGACTACATGTTCAACAATAATAATTATCACGAGTTCCTTGCGATGATCACAGATCTCATTACTTCTAGCCAACTACTCTGATTACCATAATTATCACCGCTATAATAATGGTCTTCAGTTTCTTCCCGCCCACTACAGAAGCTCTCTTGGTCGATGCTTACTAGAAATCGTGTGTTTTTGTTATTCTGGAATTTAAACAGAAAGAGAAAAACAGAAAAGGGGGAGGAGAAGGAGAAAGGGAGAGATAAGGGAGAAGGTGATGGAGGAAAAAGGGAAAGGGAAGAAGGGGAAGAAAGAGAAAGTGAAGAAGAAACTTTTTTTTTTTTTACTTCGACGAGCTTAACAATACAACGATTCCGCTTTAAAAGAATGAGGCAACTTCTGTCTCCCTCCCCATCTCGGCAAGTCCTGTGTGGAAATATAATCCCCCAAAGACCTAAGTAATAAACATAAGAAGGAAATGATCATAAAGAGAGATAGTGAAGAAACCCAACACCAGTCCGAACTCGTCTTCTCTGCGCAACTCCTTTGTTTCGCGGCCGGAGGAGCCACCGCAGCGGGCCTTGGGCCGAGGCAGCTCCTCGCCCTCTCCTTCACCTCCTCGGCCTCGGCCTCCTCCTCCGCCGCCGCCTCCGCCACCGCCGCCGCCTCCGCCTCCGCCGCCGCCGCCGCCGCCGCCGCCTCCGCCTCCGCCTCCGCCTCCGCCTCCGCCTCCGCCTCCGCCTCCGCCTCCGCCTCCGCCTCCGCCTCCGCCTCCGCCTCCGCCTCCGCCTCCTCCTCCTCCTCCTCCTCCTCCTCCTCCTCCTCCTCCTCCTCCTCCTCCTCCGCCGCTTCCTCCTCCTCCTCCTCCGCCGCTTCCTCCTCCTCCTCCTCCTCCTCCTCCTCCTCCTCCTCCTCCTCCTCCTCTTCCTCCTCCTCCTCCTCCTCCTCCTCCTCCTCCTCC